GGAAGGAAGGAAGGAAGGAAAGGAAGGAAGGGGAAGGGAAGGGAAGGGAAGGAAGGAAGGAAGGAAGGAAGGAAGGAAGGAAGGAAGGAAGGAATCTTTACACACAAGCCTGTAATCCCAGCACTTGGGAGGCTGACGCAGGAGGATCACTATGAGTTCAAGACCAGCCTGGGCTACCTGGTGAGTTCCAGGTCAGACTCAACTACATAGAGAGACCCTGTCTCAAAAATACATAAAAAAATAAACTTTTACTATATGTTCACTTGAGGTACAGTTTTCATTGAAGTAGGAACTTCTTCACTAGGCTTGTAAATTGGTACTAATCACTCAGAAAATATATTTTAAAATATTTTTATTTTATGAATTTTATTTTAGCTGTTAAACGTTTAATGAAAGAAGCAGCAGAATTGAAAGATCCAACAGATCATTACCATGCGCAGCCTTTAGAGGTTAGTTCTTCATGTGGATTTTTATACTTTACTATTTAAGACAAGTGCTTTAAAAACTGCTTTTTCATTGCTTAGAGTCATTACAGATGTGTTTGGTGTAATCCATTGGTCTCTTCTCTATATTTCATTAGCTTTCAGAATTAGACATTTTAGATGAAGCAGATTTTTGGCCTGTAAGTGGGTCTCAGATACCAAATCAGTGTTAGGTCTTGAGTGCAAGGCAGGCAAAGTGGAAAGAACCCCAAACACTTTACAGTTTGGAAGACTCAGTCCCTTGACAGGTCTTGCAGCTTTTCTGGACTTTTTGCAAAACATCTTTGCCTTTCTTCAGTCTTCTCATTTGTGTAAAAGAATGGTATTTAAATATGCTCAGTCAGGTTTTCATGGTAATAGTGAGGATAAAAATGTAATAATATATGTGCCAGCATTTTACAAATTGAAAAGTACTTGGTAACTGTAAGATGATATAATAGCAAATGTATTAATATTACTGGCCATGTATAAATAAGTTATAAAGGATAATTTTAAAAGATTTGTTAAAATAACTCAAATTTATAGTAATTATTTGATTATATCATAATTATCACAAATTGGTATCCTTTCTGGGATTCACTTCCAAATTAAATCTGTAATCTTAGTTATGAATGTATAACAATACTGTTTTTAGTGTGTTTGCTTTAAAATATTTTAGCTCTTACAAGACATAAAACTTATTTATAGCTTTTTATTCTTAAGGCATTTTGTGCATTAGAAACTAAGTGATAGTATAAAATATTTGATTTTTCTCACCTGATGTCTCTAATATTCATACTGATTAAAATGATCACACTTTTTAATGTTACTGATTCCTTGTCAATTATTGCTTCATTTAGGATAACCTTTTTGAATGGCACTTCACAGTGAGAGGGCCCCCAGATTCTGATTTTGATGGAGGAGTTTATCATGGACGAATAGTACTGCCACCAGAGTATCCCATGAAACCACCAAGTATTATTCTCCTAACAGTAAGAATTCTTGGCTTTTTGGAAAGCATGTGGTCTAACTCATCCCGATGGCTGTAAAATATAGTCAGATGCTTATTTTCATTAAGAAATAATGTGGAGCATTATTTTAATTTTGCCTTTAGAGTCCAGGCCGTGGAACTGCAGTTTTTTTACCCCACAAAAGAATTCTTAAGCTGATGCACCTGAGAAATGCTAGAGATACTAATGAATGTGTAAATGTTGTAGCATAGTTATTAGGAATCAATGAAGTAATGTGTGCACAGTGCTAGGCATAATATCTGGTGTATGGCAAGTACTCCGTAACATTAGCGTATCTCATAGCCGTATCGTCTCCTTTAACTTTCTACTAGTCTTGTTCTTTTCCTCAGTTTCCTCTCTTTACAGTGAGAATGATTCCTATTTCATTGAATTGATACAGAATTAAGTGTCAGTATCTTGTGTATATCTCTTAGAATAGACTCGACACAGAATCCTCAAGTGCTGGCTGTTTTATTATAATTTATACCTCAGAATTTCTCTCCATTTATTTTCATATGAAAGAAAACTTGATCCACTCCCCTCTCAGTTATGCTTTCCTCTTCCCATTTCCTTTAATTTTTAAGTATATTTAAGTCTCCCCTACCCTTGATGAACAAAAACTTTCTGATACCACTTCATGTTGTTTCTGTTTTTCCTCTATAACTTCTAGGGGCTCCTTATTCTAGTGTAGCCTGTTGCATTCTGGCTTCCACACATAGTGCTCTCTACACCAATCTCAGAGAGCAGTCTGAGAAATATCACTGCCTCTTCTCAGTCTTCACCCTGTTCCATCTAAGTTACCTCACCCACACAGGTAGCAAATGGTGAAACAAAAGTTGTTCATCAATGAATAGCAAATTAAGCAGTTTTTACCTACTTTTTTTTTTTTTTTTTTTTTTTTTTGGGG